CTGGCTCCAAGCCCAAGGCGACCTTTTGGCTCACGGCCGCCAGAAGCTGCCTTGAGACCCGCGGTTTGGCCGTGGTTTTCCTGGGACCTCTCCTTGGCAGGAGAACGCCCGTCCGCACCCCAGCTCTCCGCGGTGGGGCCTTGGCAGAGGGCGGGAGCTGCCTTGGCAGCGTGAAGGGCTGGTTTTCCCCTCTCCTTTTTCAGAGAAAACTTTAAACACGAGCTGTTCTGGTCTGTCCGAAACCATCGAGGCGCCGCCTCTGGGGCAGAGCTCGAGGGGTGACGTTTTGCTTGTGACCTCCTTAACTGGCCACGTGCTCTCGGGACGCTTTGCTTCGAAATACCGCGGCCCATCCCAGCCTCGCCGACGTACGGACCGTCGAGGCGAAGGGACGGGGGAATGCCGTGACCCCGGGGGAAACGGGTGCCAGCCGTGCCCGTGGGGGACCAGAGCGGGAATCCGTTGGCCCCCTCCCCACCAGGAGCACCCCCTCCTCCTTCTCTAGCTTTTCCCCCAAAGCTCTGGCGAGTTAAGATCCTGACGGGCGTGCGGGACGGCTGCCGGGGCCGTGTCGCACCGAGCGTGTTTGAACGTTGTCCCCTCCGCCCTCCGAGCAAGCGCCTACTTCTCTGTTCCACCTTCGGCCCGGAAACCCTTATCCAGGGAACTTGCTGGACTTTGATACCTCTGTTTTCTTTCTCCCCAGGCGCCTTTGGCCCAGCCGGAATCTCCTACGGCCTCCGCGGGCGACGACGCTCGTTCAGCTGCGGAGTCGGGAGAGTCGGACAAGGAGTCGGTCTGCAGCAGCTCGGCCAGCAACGGCGGCAGCAGGGCTTGCAAGGACAAAGAGAAACCAAAGAAAGAGCGAGAAAAGGACAAGGAAAAAGATAAAAAACGGGCAGACTCGGTTGCCAACAAGCTGGGCAGCTTCGGCAAGACGCTGGGAAGCAAGCTAAAGAAGAACATGGGCGGCTTGATGCACGGCAAAGCTATCAAGGGCGGCGTGAGCAACGGGCAGGGGGACACCTTGGAGAAGAAGAAGAAGGGGTCCTTGAAGTCGAGGAAAGGCAGCAAAGAGGAATCTTCCCAAGGGGACTTGTCAGCTCCTGTGGAGAAAAGCTGCGCGGGTAAAGCAGCCCCCGAGAAGCCGTCGGACCCCTACAAATACAGCAACGACGTCAGGCTGAGCCTGAGCATCCTGCGGGCCGCCATGCAGGGGGAGCGCAAGTTCATCTTCGCCGGCCACCTCAAGACCAGCAACCGGCACCAGTACCAGGAGGAGATGATCCAGCGGTACCTCCTGGACGCCGAGGAACGCTTCCTGGCTGAGCAGAAGCAAAAGGAGGCCGAGAAGAAGGCGCTGGGGAGCGCTGCCCCTGCCAAGAAGCTGGAGCCGGAGGCGAACCCCCACAAGGGCGAGGAAGCGATGCTCCACCCCGCTTACCCCCAGCCTCCCCCGGCCTACGCCATCCAGACCCCGGAGCTGGCCGTAGGCGCTAAAATCGCCGCTTTCCCCTCCGGCTATTCGGGCGTTTTCACCTTTCCCAGACCCTCCGCGGTCAACAGCGTGGAGGGGTCGCACCCCGCCGCCTATCAAGACG